GTCTTGCGGTGGTCTCGTGTTGCTTCCACCGCCCGGGTGTATCCCTAACGAAGAGGATGTGTGATGGTGATGCTGCGTCGAGGCGTACGGCGACATACCCAATGCGAGTGGAAAGTTTCGATATGCCGCTGCAGTAGCTGGATCATGATGTTGACTCGTCGCTCCAGCTTGATGATGGTGGCTTCCGTAGAAGCCGCCCGCGGTCTGCTCAAAGTACGAGTTCATTATCCCGGGTATTTTGGATCACTGGCACTAAAACACCGGCACTCGAAAAAGAGGTAGCGAGAGAAGCTGTTTCAGAATTCGAACCAGGATTCGGAGCAGCTTACAGTTACATGGAGTGCATGCGGCTAGTCGAATTTTACTAGTCCGTACTCCAATCTAATAATTTTAATGTTACACTTACTTAGTTTTTTTTTTGTACGACAATTAGATATTTGATCTTGTGCCACGTTCAACGTTCGAATGCGAGACATAAACACTCGAAGAAGCGATACGCTGTTTGACGCGGGCGGCGACAGGTATGATGACAGACAAATAGACGAACATTAAGAGTCGCTTTAAGAGCCCATAAAAGTCATCGACAAATATAGTCGGTTACACCCAAAGTGTCAATGTCAGTAGACCGCGGAAGTGCAATTCAGAATAGGTTTCATGACAGTGGCGGGGATTTTACGATCTTGTTATGGTTACCGCTACAGGCGAAGCATTAAACCGGTGGTCTGGACTATGGAAACGGGGCGATGATCGTTAAATCGTTACGATGCAATAAACTTAGGTAATAAGACGGGCTATAAAATTGCCTGTGGGTTTCTCTCTACCGCGTGCGCGCCCGACGACGATTCGGTCAGTCGGCACGCGACCACCCTCGCGGGCGATTCCTTCCTTTTCTATTAAAAATATACAAATCGCGATCGGGTGAGGTCGGGTCAAGGCCTTGTCTTGTTGCCGGTCGATCTGTCACGAAATCAAAGGTGACTTCGCCAGTCTGCACTGCACTAGCACTTGTCGTATTGTGACTTCGCTGATGACTGTGAGGTCCGAAGTACGAGTCGAAGTACGATGGGGATCGTAACGAATCACGGTATGCCAGTGCGGTGGTCCACGGCACACTACCGCTTTTCTCGCGCCCCGTGTACCGCCACTCTGTACCGTCGTCCGTCTCTTGCTCGCTCGTTCACCTCGTTTCGTCTCTCTTCTTCGCAGTCCACTTCTCTCGCTCTCTCTGTCGAGTTTGCTTCTTCGTTCCACCAACCGTCGTCCCTCTGCGCACTCTCTCTTGTTCTGTCGCAGTCGCTCTTTCCCATTCGTGCGGTTGTCGCTTCTCGCTCGCGCGTACTCTTCCTCCGGAGTACTACGTCCTAGCGGAGATCGGAGCGCTATATTCCTCTCCTTGTTTCGCATATACCATCCCCCTCCTGGTACGATAACCGAGTTCTCTCACTCTGTCCTATCGTCGTTGTTATCCCCCTCTTCCACCCCCAACGTTTCCCCCCTACAATTGCTCTCTCGCCCTCTGATTCTGTCTCGCTCCACCTCTCAACGAAATTCGTCCTCTCCCTTCCATTCGATCAGTCCTCTCCCTCTTTCTCACGGTATGATTCCTCAGCGTCCCCTATCGAGCGCTCCAGTAACTCAACGACGTACCGCCAGATTAAATTCGTACTGCTCGCCGTGCGCGTCACATTTGAGACGCGCGGGCAGATAAGACGGTGCGAGGAAGGAAGAGGAAAGAACTGCCTGTCGCGACGCGAAAGAAAGGGAAGAGAGGAGATAGAAAATAGAAAGAGATGAGAGACACGCAAAGACACGAGCAGAAACGAATAAGAAGGTGGGGAAGAGAAAGAGATAAAGAGGAAAAGAAAGAACGTTATGCGCAATTGCAACAGCTAAGAGCGAGACGAAGCGGAGCGAGCGTCGCGGCGATAGCGCGCGAAGAGGGAGAACGTGCCGCTAAGGGAGGAGGTTATACTTAAGGACCAATCAGAATTGAATTCGTCACGAATACCGCGCTGGTATGGCATGAAAGTTCCTACGCCGTGCGAAAGTAGTTCCAAGTCGGAACGACGCCCATGAGCGGCTAGGCACCGCCCCGTAAACCCCCCACTAAAGCACACGGATACCCGTCGGCAGCACGGGCACGCTGCCACATACCGCGTGGAAAGAGAAAGAGAGATGGAGGACGGCACGGCACGTGCGTCACGCAACGATTCTACCGTCTCTTTCTCTCCTCCACCCTCGTTCGTGGGGATACGTGCACCGCCACCTTTGAGTCCCGTGGCAAACTAACCCTGCCAGATCCATTCAGACATTCAAACGACCAACATCAACGAGCTACCTCGCGATTATCATTATTGCGAGAATGACGTCGTAAATCCGCTATTATGCAGAATAACCTGATCGACAAGCCGCATACAGAGAAGGAAAACGAGGGATGAGAAGCGTTATGAGATGCCTCCATCATTTGAGATTGTATTAGGTGCAACCGGACCGATGTCGAGGATACTTGATGACGCGAAAGTAAATGTAATGATAAAAGTGTCGCTGTAATTACCATTTACGAGACACGTCGATGTTTACGAATTAATTAAACAACGGACGCGTAATTAAAATGTCGTAAAAGTCAGCTCTGCGAAGCCGAGTAGGCAAACGAGCACACTTCACGGCGCGCGCCACACTAGTATCGAGAGTGTTTATTGGGATGTAAATGTCGCTGGATTATCGTCCCCGCGGTTCGCACCTCGTAAATTATTCCGTAACGAGCCGAGTAATGCCCATCATAAGCTGTTCTCCGAGGCTGACCCTAGTTATTTGCTTACTCGCTCTTGCCTCGTCTCGCTATTATAAATACTCCGGGTGTTAGCCACCTGCCTTACTCTTAAAAATACGTTCAAATAAAGGACACTTGAATTTTTGTTACAAATGTTTGAACAAAATTGAGCAGTTGATGCAAAAACAAAAACAAACACAAACGTTTGCAATATCCTGTAAAAAAAAACGCGAAATAATGTTGTGTAACATATAAATAATGTATTTAAAAAATTAATTATATGATAATTAATTGCTATATGCTACCTGTTTTTGTCAGCTCCGTAATTATATGTGTCGTTAATTAATATAAATATAAAAAAATTGTAACACTGAAACTATGCTCTTACTATACAACTGTATTTTCATTGTACAGCTACTTATTGGTCTCACTATGCTGAACAAGCTTTTACACGTATAAATTACATGAAATGTTTATCACACTCTTAATTTGACGGGATCGTTGATGAAGAGACATGATGCAGTTTTCGCTTTTGCGAGACTCCGACAGGTGGTGGCCCGTTTGCTTGAAAATCATGACGGCAATAAACTTCGGTTTTATGACCACTTGAACAGAATCGTAAAAGTCAGGGCCTTTAAGCTTATAGCGTAGAAGGGCGCGTGTCGAATATAGTGGGGGCGTGAAGAAAGCCACCATGTGAATGGGGAAGGTGTAACGGCCATATAGATATACAAAAATGGGCCTAAATACCCTCTTTAAAACGATATGCACAACAGCCGACTAAACTCTAGGCATTAATTTGGTGTCGAGTATCACGAACCAAAGTACATAAATCTACTGATTATCTAAAAGTCAATTTCAATATCTACTATTCACGGTTATTAGCTATTACACATTTAATCACTGATATCAGTAGTACTTTCACCTTAAGTTGTATGGATTGAATACTTTTCATTATTTACTAAGTATCTATTTCACGTATATATTCACGTAATATTTCGTGCGGAAAACTAGAGGTAAATGTGAACAGAAGCGCGTATCCGCAGATATCATCGTTAGCTATCGACATAAAACCCATATGGATGATAGACGTCCATTCCACGGATCTCAAATAAAACCGAAGCAGGATTTCAAAGAGAGAAGGGAGGATTAGGGGGCGTAGCTATGGCATCGAGAAAAAGAATGCGAAAACGAAAGGGCCATTGCACCCGAGTCGGGCAAATCTGCACTCTTGCTAAACCAGCATTCATTCTTCATCGCTTTGGCTCCTCTGCTTTCCTCTACATGGTTCAATGCACTGTTCAGGCTCTCATTTTGGTTAGATATTTTTTCTTCCTTTTTCATTTCGCACATTCCTACTCATTCAGTTTCTCATCTTTCGCTATCCAGCGAAGTTATGACAAAATATTCCATTGTAAATCAATTTTAGAATTTTAGAATAAATGTTATCTATGTTACTCACGCGTATGAAAATTTGTGACAATAAAGATATAAAATGCAAGATATAGCCGATGAAAATAGTCAACTGGGCAATATTTCGGAATAACAAATCCTGATTTGCATTTTATCGAACTTTTAAAATAGAGATACTTAATGTAGCATCGAAGATAATACAAAACAAATAAGAATTTCTTGAATTATGATCTCAACACCCGAGTAGTTCAATAATATAACATCTATTTAACTGTAATAATTTAAGTTTCACTAACATAATGGCCAAATAAGCTAAAAATCACATAAGAATCCTAGATAAATACATTTTTGCAAATTAACTTTTCCAGTTAGATATGAATATCATTCTTGTTTAACTGTAATTTCTAAAGTTTATAGTTACTAAAAAATCCAATTTGTTAAAATTGCATATCGATCGGCAGCGTATCAGGAGCAATGCTAGGATCACGTAGCAAGGATCCGGAAGATACTTTCTTTGCCATCTGGCGGTCTTTCGTAGTATCACGTGACTGCAAAGCTGCATTGAACTTTCTGCAGTTCTTACAGTCGATAGATATTTTACAACAAAGCATATGCTACATAAAAATATGTTGCCATTTTTGTCTCCGTTCCAAAATAAAATTTAAACTTATTGCTAATATCACCGATACAGAGTGAACAAGATAGTTGATTCTATCAATTCTTATCACACAGTTGCATGTAAATTACAAAATAAAGTATTTAATGCTTGCTTGTTTCGTTTTCTTTTCTAATTTAAAATAAAGTAATATAAGCGATGGGGTTCTGAGTATAATAATAATGATAATTAAAAACACATAAGCTAGTTTCTTGCAAATAAAAAAAAACAGCTAAAAACCTATCAAAAATAATAAAATTTGTAATAAAAAGACAAGAACGCGCAATGATAGTTCTTATAAACCTGTAATTATTAACGATCAATTTTTTTAACGAATTCAAGACTTGTTAAGTTTCAGAGTGATCTACCTTATCGGTTGTAAAACTTGTCCTGCAGGCAGGACAGGAGTTAAGGGATCGACGTTAGCAGAAATTCTCACTCGAGAATCTCTGGACATTGGCACGTTGCGACAATACGTGATTTTTATAAATAACATCGGATAAAACTTTAAAATTGCTATCTGATATTGTTTAATAGCGTAATTAAAATCATTTTTCTTTGGTTAAAGACATGACATGCG